CACAAGGTTATTTGGATGTCAGTAATGATCCATCATAAAGTTATGTTGAGCAGCCCAGAAGATCGGCAAGATTAAGAAACATTCCTCACAGATTGAATGACTATATCTGTCAGTCCATGATAAGAGATAAACCAAACTTGAGAACATCCCCCATTCAGTAGACAAATTTATCTCTTATGATATTCTACCTCTTCATCACAAGGCATGGGTATCCTCCATCACCTCAACACATGAACCACACTCATATAATGAAGCAGTAAAACATGAGGCATGGATGAGAGCTATGGATTCTGAAATTGATGCCCTAATTCAGAATAACACATGGATTCTAACAGATTTACCAAATGGGAAATCACCAATTGGTTTTAGGTGGGTTTATAAGGTGAAACACAAAGCACATGGATCCATAGAAAGGTACAAAGCTACGTTGGTTGCAAAAGGATACACTCAACAACTAGGGGTGGAATACATTGAGACCTTCTCATCAGTGGCTAGGATGACCACCATTAAAACCTTCTTAGCTATAGTTGTTTTCAAAGGTTGGGACATCCAGCAACTTGACATCAACAATGCCTTCCTACATGGAGACTTAGAGGAAGAGGTATACATGGTCCTACCCCCAGTATTCAAGAGTGATAAACCCAACCAAGTCTGCAAATTGTTGAGGTCTTTGTATGGTTTAAAGCAAGCTAGCAGGCAGTGGAATGCCAAGCTTACAAGAGCCCTTATTGACTATGGTTTTTACCAATCTGCATCTGATCCTTCCTTATTTACTAAGAGTACAGACATATCTTTTACTACATTGCTAGTAAATGTAGATGATATCCTTGTGGTAGGAACAAATACTACCCAGATCAAGGAGTTAAAACAGCTGTTGGATAGATTCTTTAAGATCAAAGATCTTGGTCAACTAAACTATTTTCTGGGAATTGAAGCATTTAGAACTCCCACTAGCATCAATCTCTGTCAAAGAAAGTATACTTTGGAGATATTGAAATAAAATGGTTTCTTGGAAGCAAAATCTGTCAAGACACCTTTCACAGCAGGACAAAGACTCACCAACACTGATGGAAAACTACTTGACAATCCTGAGGTGTTCAGAAGACTGGTTGGTAAACTTCTTTATCTCACAAATACTAGGCCTGGCATATCATATGTAGTCCAATAACTAAGTTAGTTTGTAGACAAGCCCAGGGATACCCATCTGATTGAAGCACATAGGGTGTTGAGGTATCTCAAGGGCTCTCATGGAAAAGGATTTTTCTATTCAGCTAATTCTCCTCTCAAATTGCAAGGATTTTCTAATTCAGATTGGGTTACTTGCATTGAAATCAGGAGATCTATTACTGGATACTGCATTTATCTTGGGGAACCCTCACCTCCTGGAAAACCAAGAAACAAGACACCATATCAAGGTCATTGTCTGAGGCAGACTATAAGGCATTAGCTTCTACAGTTTGTGAAATCCAGTGGCTGTCATATCTCTTGGCAGATTTACAAGTTACCATTGACAGCAAGATCATTTTATTTTGTGATAACAACTCTGCTATTGCTATAGGGGAAAACCATGTTTTCCATGAACGCACTAAACATATTGAGATAGATTGTCATGTGGTGAGACAAAAGGTTCATGAAGGAAATTAAAAATCAAATTGCTAGCCATCCCTTCTTCCAAGCTGATTGCAGATGGTTTTACCAAAGCTTTGTCCAAACCATTGTTTGATGTCTTTCACTCTAAGCTGGGCCTTTAAGATATTCATGCTCCAGCTTACGGGGAGTGATGAAGGACTCACCAAGCAGCCATCTTCCAGCAAGTTAAACAGCTACAGTCAAAGCCTTAAGGGCATTAGTGTCTTTTCTTTCTATTGTGGCAGTTATACCTGCTTGTCCTGTATATATTTCTTCTTTCCCTTTTCCCTCCAATTGTAACATACACTTCTACTCTCTGCAATGATCACACTCCAGTTTTCCCTTTAGCTTAGCTTGCATGATCAGTTAATGTGATTTGTCTTAGTTCATCAGTCTTTCATGACTTCAATACAAACCATTCAAACTATAAAAGGTGACATTTCCTTTTTTATTGTAGTATATTTTCAAACAAATAATACCCGGAGTATCGGGTAATCGATCCATAGGGAAGTGGTTGTATTCAACACTAGCTACTAATTTATTCTGTGATGCTAATCTTAATGATTGACTTGGATGGTTGCATTAAATAAATAAATAAAATAAAGCAATGATTCAGGGTTTTGAAAAAAATGAGAGATTGAGATTCCTGGGATTCAAGTGTTTAATCCCCTAGTGCCAATCCTAAGAACAATATTAAAATATGGGTTTAACAAGTGTGAGGATGCAAAGTGGTATAGAGATACTCCCGTAGTCTCTAACATTAGTGAATATCCACTCTCTTGTTATAAACACCCAATAAGAACAAGAACAAGAACAAGAACAAGCATTCATAAATAATCCCTAACCACTACCATCTCACGATGTGCAATAATCAAGAATTAAACTCCCTAACAAATATGTCATTTTCCAAGGTGCAAAAGTTAAGTGCAATTGTGTGAACTCTCAATTATGCCTAACGCCCGTTATGACATAAACAAAGCAATGAAACAAGTAATACTACTCGCAACGATAATAATAAACACAATTGCAACACAAGTTTAAAACGCAAATAATAATAAATTAAAGAATCTGAGAGCACATACACATAGGTTCATAAACACTTTTTACCCAAGAATCCCTAATGGAATTTAGCCACACATGGCTAAATTATACATAGCTAAAGATAATAAAGAAAATAAAAGTTATCAAAAAGAGTAGAAGATTGAACCAGAAAATTTTCCCAAATCTCCCTAGCTTTCTTCTTGCTTCCCAAGACAACTTGTGGCTCTTGATTTGTCTCCTTCTTGTCTCCAAAGATCTCTGAATGAATATTAGGGCTGAGGAAGAGGAAATTTTATAGTAGGAATCAATCCCGGAGGAAATAGGAATTTTCTGCGCAAAACTAGGTCGAAATCGCGCCTGGGCCGCCATTTTTGACGCGTCGAGTCCTAATCCTCAAATTCCAGAATGCACACTGGAAATTTTCGACGCGTTGAGAATTTTCTTGCCAGTGTCATAGGTCTGTCTTGTAGGATGATTTTGACAATTTTCCTTTCAGATCTGGACTTCGATGTCTTCATAAGAGTTGTAGCCCTTCGAGTCTTCTTTCCAATGGAGCAAGAATCACTTCATTTAGATATTTCTAGGATGAGATATGGTCCAAAAACCAAACTGTCGCCAATGTGTGCGAGAATTTTCACTTATTGCTCTTTTGCTCCACTTTTGCCTCGGGTTGCCCAAGTGATCAAGACCATTGAAAACACCACTCTTTGGCTCCCTTTTGAAGTATTTAAGCCACCTCCTTAGCCTCACATTGACTTTGTTTTGGCTCCAAACTCGTCCTAAAACTTCCCTTGCTTTTGCAATTGATCTACAATTGTTCCAAATTAAAACAATAACAAACACCGTAAAACATTCAAAACAAGTGTACAACCATATATAAATGATAAAACAAGGAAAATATGCAATTAAAGTAATATTTTCATAAACTTAAACCAACAAATATACCCAAACTAACACTAGAAACATGTACAATTTGACTCACATCACCTTTCAGAAAAAAAAAAAAAAAGTGACATTTTTTTTGGGTCCTCTTTACTTGTCATATTCATATCATGTCATGACATCTATATATGAAACATATGTGTTTAATACATATTGTAACAGTTAATCTACTTTGAAATTATCATCCATCTCTTTTTTGGTAAATATTATGATTTTAATTTGGTTAATTTTAATAGACATTCCTCTTATACATTGTACCTAATTTTTCTAATACTTTGAAATGATTTTGCCATCTTGTCTTTGTTGATATTCAAATTAGGTTTGCTAACCCTTATAAGTTATAAAAACAAGTCTACTTATACACATTCCTTCTTAGGACCAGTCTAAAAAGAATAGGGTCTTGTGCAGTAATTTAACTTGGACCCTGCTTTATATAATTGTGAAATTAAAAAAAATATATTGAAAATTTCTACCAAAATATAAATATTTTTTTAACATGCAAAAAAAAAAAAAAATCTATAAAGAATTACAAATTATACAAAGTTAATTACTAAAATGGTCTAACCTACCCTTGCCCAGGGGGCAAATTATTGTATGGACCATGATCCACACAGTGTTGTGTGGACCATAACAAAAAGTACATTTTAATATACGAAATGTACATTATTTGTGTATTGAATGTACATTATATAAAATAATGTACTTTAAGTACTCAAATAATGTACTTTTCCTGAATACAATGTACATTATTAACATATAAAAAATTACATTATTTTTGTACTAAATGTACATTATTTTATAGCAAACAAAATATGGTCCGTCGAACTTGTGTAGACCATAATCCACACAACAATGATTGTGCCCAGGGTGGCCTGGGAGGAAACTAGAATATAATTATATGTAATTTGTTTTAACAAAATCATGCATTTTAAATTGACTATGAAGTAGAATGTTGCATGTTGGAAACTAATCTCTCTCTAGGTTCTCTAGAGTTTTGCTCTCTCTACTAGGTTATCCTAGGGTTTTCAACCGATTTCTTTCGCTCTCTCCGGTGTGTTGCTGGCGTTTCTTGTCTTTCTTTGGCTCCGTCTATCTGCTTCTGTATGGTTGCGTTAACGACGGGGGATGCTGTGGCTGGTCTCACAGCTCGTTGGGCCGATTTGGTCCTAGAGGATGAGGGGTTGGAACCTGTCGTGGATGGGTTCGAAACGGCGGTGGAAGGTTCCGATGAGAGGTGGGTGCTTGTGGGTCGGTTTTTGACGAAGAAGGTGGTTAAGGTAGAGTTCATGCGGTAAGTGATCGCGTCCGTATCGCAACCGGTTGGGGGTATCTAGGTTTCGGAGATTCAGCCATCGTTGTTCCTCTTTGTTTTCTTCCACAAAACAAATATGGGGCTTGTGCTTAATGATGGTCCGTGGGCATTCGAAGGGAGCACATTAGTCTGCAAGCAAGTTGAACCGGGTGTCCTCCCTGGTGACATCCTGTTGGACTCGCTTGATATGTGGATCCAAGTTCACGACCTACCGTTCGGTTATACTACAATTCCGATTCTAGAACATGTGGGTAACTTCTTGGGGCAATTTGTGAGGATGGACGACAGATTTCAGGATGCACCTTGGCGTGCTTTCTATCGGATTCTCGTAGCCATCCCAGTTGCGAAGCCGCTCAAACGCCGCATGAAGCTGATTAAAAGTGATAAATCTACCTGTTGGGTTACGTTCAAATACGAACGGTTGCACACATATTACTTCTGTTGTTGTTTGCTCGGATATGCATATAAATACTGTCTTAAGGCAAGGAACTTGGACATGCCTGTGGAATTGTACCCGTACGGTGATCTCCGGAGTGCATGGGGCAACCGTGATCCTCGGCCGGTGGGTGATCCTTGGATTGTGCCTCTCGGGTAGTCCAGAATGGAGGTTGTATCAGATGAGGGGAGTGATCTGTGACAGTCGGCTGAATTGATACCGCCGGTAGGAAGAAGTCGGGATGATCAGCGTGGGGTGGTGGCGGTTTCGAAAAGGAGGAGGGAGAATTTTGGTGGTAGGAGGCCTGGCTTGGGCAGTGGTGACATAACAATGGCTGAGGTTCCAAAAACCTTGCATCCGGCGGGTTCTGTGATCCCAATGAGTACCATCAGTTGGAACTGTCGTGGTTTGGGCAATCTACGGACATTTCGAGAGATTGTGGACCTGGTGTCCCGTAAGATGCCTGATTTCGTCTACTTAATGGAAACTAAAGTAGCGCGAACACACGCAGAGCAGCTACGTATCAAGATTGGTTTTGAAGGTTTTTTTATGTGGACAATGTCGGCCTGAGTGGTAGTTTGGCATTGTTATGGAGGAAAAATAATACCGCTAGGCTATTGCGTTTCTCCAACAATCATGTGGATGTGGAAGTTAGTTTAACGAATGACAGATTGTGACGTATGACGTGATTCTATGGTTACCCTGAACGGTGGAGGAGGAGGGAATCATGGCAGTTGCTTGATGTATTGAGGGGCAGATCAACACTCCCTTTGGTTGTGATAGGGGATTTTAATGATCTTCTATATCAGCATGAGAAGAGGGCGAATCCGCATCCAGATAATCTCCTTCGCGGTTTTGGGGAGGTTATTGACAGTTGTGGTTTGCTTTAGTTACCGATGAGTGGGCACCAGTTCACCCGAGAGAGAGGGGGAGGTATGGAAGGCTGGATAGAGGAGAGGTTAGACAAGGTGTTGGCCACGACAGGTTGGAGTGATATGAATGGCGGTGCTTGGATTGAAAATATACTGACTCGTACTTCGGATCACTCGACTCTTTTCCTCAATATTAATGCAACGACTTTGCATAGGGGTAGGGGTTCGAGGGGTTTTAGGTTCAAGATGGCTTGGCTCCATGATGAGGGGTGCAGGGATGTGGTTGAGACTGTCTGGCAGGATGGGATGACTGAGGGGTTGCTGAATTATCAGCAGCATTGTGGTAGTAGACTGATGCGGTGGGGAGGGGAACACTTTCATAAGTTTGGGGACCGTATGAAACAACTGCAAAAGAAGCAGGAAGTGTTGAGAGATCGGAGGGACCAGGTTGCGTTGGCCGAGTTCCAGCGATTGGAGGGTTTACTTTGCCAGCTGGAGGCCTAGGGAGATGTATTTTGGAGGCAACGAGCTAAACAACACTGGCTACGTGGTGCAGATGTCAATACAAAACTCTATAACAGGTATGCTTCTGCTCGTAAGAAAAAGAATTTTATTCATAAAATTAATAATGCTGATGATGTGTGGGTGGATGGAGAGGCCATGAATGTGGTTATCTTGGAGTACTATAGATCTATTTTTGCCTCTAATAATTCTGTGAGTGATGACCCCCTGTTCGATAATTTCACCCCCGTGTGTCTCATGATCAAAATAACACCCTATTACAACCCTTTGAATATGAAGAGGTCAAAATTGCACTTTTTGCTATGTTTCCTGATAAAGCTCCAGGACCGGATGTAATGAATCCGGGTTTCTATTAGCACTTTTGGGATGTAGTGGGAGGTGATGTGACTTCATTTATTTTGGGTTGTTTAAATTCTTCTTCCCTTCCTGATGGATTGAATGATACGAAAGTGGTTTTGATCCCTAAAAAAAGTGAGCCGAAAACGGTAGCTGATATGAGACCAAGATGATAGCTAACAGAATGAAACCACTAATGGGGAATCTAATTTCGGAGTCCTAGAGTGCTTTCATTCCTGGTAGACTCTTCACAGATAATATGCTAATAGCTGCTGAAGTAGGCCATTATTTGAATAGGAAGTAGTGTGATTTGACAGGATGGGGGGCTTTAAAAATGGATATGGCAAAGACCTATGATAGAATGAAATGACAGTTTTTACATAAAATGCTTGTGGTTATGGGATTTGATGATCGCTGGGTCAAACTGATTATGCTATGTGTAACCACAGTAAAGTATAATATTCTGGTGAATGGTATGAATAGTGGGCGCATAACTCCCTCCCGTGGTCTTAGGCAAGGTGATCATCTCTCCCCATATTTATTTATTATTTGTGCAGAAGGATTATCAATGTTATTGCAGAAGGCTCAGATGGCAAGATCTATACATGGATGTAGGGTGGCTAGGAGGCCCTCCCTATTTCACACTTGTTCTTTGCAGATGACAGCCTACTATTCTTTAAGGCAAATATTCAGGAGGCCAGTGTGATAAAACAATGCCTGGTATGTTATGAAAAACTGTCTGGTCAAATAGTCAATTTTCGTAAATCCAATATCTATTTCAGTAGGAATACCATGGAGAATGATAGGGCGGCGGTGGCGGAATGTTTGCAGGTAGAACAAGCTCCCAATTTTGGCAAATATCTTGGCCTACCTTCATTTGTGGGAAGGAATAAAAGGGCTGTTTTTTCTTATGTGGAGGATAAAATCAGACAGCGGATTAGTTCATGGAACAAAAAGTTACTCTCAGGCTGGTAGGGAGGTGCTATTGAAAAGTGTGGCTCAATCTATGCCTACTTTTACAATGAGTGTTTTCTTGCTACCTGATTCAGTTTGTTTATGTATTTAGAGGACTATGAACATGTATTGGTGGGAGAGTGGAACAAAGAGAGGAATTCACTGGAAAGCTTGGGATAAGTTATGTATTCCTAAGAATTTTGGTGGATTGGGTTTTAAGGATCCCCGTGGTTTTAATTTGTCTATGCTAGGAAAACAGGTCTGACGTTTCCTCACAAATCCCACCTCCCTAGTAGCAAAGATATATAAGGCAAGATATTATCCTGCTACTTCATTTGTTGATGCAACAGTAAACAGCTGCCCAAGTTATTGGCTGAAGAGTATTATAGTTGCGCATGATATTGTTTGTTCCGGGGTGTGCATGAGGATTGGTAATGGTAGAACGACTTTGATCTGGGGTCACCCATGGTTACCAGACGACCCTAGTTCGCTGGTTCAAACAGAGATGCCTATTGAGATATGCTCGGGTTGCAGGGCTGATTGATCAGCAGACTAATACTTGGGATCCCTATATTTTATCTGATTTATTTATTACTGAGGATGTGGCTCGTATATCTAAAACTCATGTTAGCCCTAAAAGACTCATGGTATAGGCTTGGGGACCCAAAGGAATTTATTCAAAGAATGCCTATAGAAATATTGGTGGGGATTATGTGTGTGCCCAGGTGCTTTTGATAAATGGGCTACACTTTGGAAACTAAAAGTCCCTCCCAAATGGAAGACATTCTTGTGGAGAGCAATTTGTGATATTCTCCCCACTACTACCAATTTGATTATAAAGAGGGTGGAAGTGAGTCCTACATGACAAATGTGTGGTTTGGCTCATGAAGATGTTAAGCATGCTCTAGTATTTTGTGAATATTCTAGATTTGTTTGGAATGTTACAGAATTACCAATCACAAATATTGTTACCAACTCCTTTCCAACATGGTTTATGGGTGCATTGGCATCTTGATGGAGGAGCAATGTGGACTGATGATCGCCGTGTTGTACCATTTGTGGGGAAGCCGGAATTCGGCCGTGTGGAAGAGGGTTCCCCCACGCCCAGCTAATGTTTGGAAGAGGGCTGCCACCGCCATGCACTCTTTCCGGCAGGTGCATCATCGCCCTGCACAGCCCACGCCGGTAGCAGCAATAGCGACCGAGGACCATGACGGCCCGCGGTGCTACGTCGATGCCAGTTTCCGGCAGGACACCGGGGATGCCACGTACAACATTGTTTTACTCTCTTCACGAGGTCGTTCATGGCAGCAAGAAATGGCAAACTACCGGTCTGTTTCTCAGCACTTATGGCGGAGGCCCTAGTTTTTAAGGAGGCGTTATCTTGGCTTATGGAAAAGAATGTCACAACGGTGAGCATTTTCACAGATTGCTCGGTTCTACGAAGTGTTTTACACCAGGAAACAACATCTATCTTGTCCTATGTTGGGGTCGTGGTGGATCAATGCAGGACTTCTATGTCATTATTTAGTTGTTGCTCATTTAGTTACGTTTCTTGGCAGGTTAATTTACATTCTCATACTCTAACTTAGTTAGCTCTTACTCAAGATCAGTCTATGTATTGGGATTCTATCACTCCTGACTCTATTGCTGCTTTGATTCATTAATACAATCATCTGATTGGCTTTCAAAAAAAAATTGACTATGAAGTACATAACAAACTATTCTAATTCAACTAGCTAACACAAATTGACTAAAAATAACTTTTGGTTCATATACTCAATTAGAAGATATATATTTGTCTCAATTCTGAACTTCATGTGACATATATCTCGTTACAAGAGTCTATATCCATAGAACGACTTGAATTCATCTTGGGCTTTCTCTTAAATGCTCTGAACACCCATTTTAGCATCTTGACTGTGATCTGAATTGTGTGCCCCAACACAAGAATCACGGCATGCCCAGCTAAGAAACAGGCCCCAATTCTGTACAAGAAAAGTGCTATGTTCATGTTCATCATGTTATTCCCCTTCGGAGTAATCATGTTTATGCAGAAGAAATAACTTAACCCAATCCCAGTGATGGCCACCCACATTATGATCATCATAATGTACATAAAGAACTTGCGGCTTAGCGGCAAACCGCTAATCAACAGCAGTATGATACTGAGAGATGCAAGAAAGCTGGTGGTGTTGGCCACCAGGAACATACTATAAACCGGCGGCTTGTAATAAGACATCACGGATTTCCCAATTGTACCATTTATCAGTGTGTCACTAGACGGTGCAGCTGCAGGTGCAGAGGCGACAAAGGAGGATTCGGAGTTTCCTGTAAAAGATAAGAAACCATTTATGTTGTTTTGGATTTCTGACTCTCTTATGACTGTGTTGTCTTGCAATAAACCGCCGGGAGGGCTGACAACTGCCTGGAAAGCCATTGTTGCGAGCAAAGAAGCCGCCACCATTAATGCGTCTCGCATTTTTTGAACCCAGTTCTCTTTTTTCGCATTTGGCGGCTTGGTATTATTGTTGCCGATTGGCTTTTTTCTTTTGTTTTTCTTCTTGTTGTTTCTGGAGGGTTGGCTCTGGGGGATTTGCATTTGTTTAGGTGCCTTGTGTTTCACATCATTATTTGTAGTTTGAAGGAGGATGTCCATAGGTGTTAACCCAATCAAGTCTTGATGAGCATCCACTTCTATTGTAGTATGCTTCACCAAATACTTCACAGTCTGCATGCAATGCAACCCATTAAGTGCATGCAATGCAACCCCTTTTCAAATATTTAATTAATTTGAATGAAAGTATTAATGTCTTATCAAATGCATAGCTCAATTATTATAAATGTAGAAAAGGGAATTGAAATAAACAATTGAATTGAAGATGGGATATGTTTGTATAGTATCTGGTATCTACTATCTAGTCAAATTAAAGGAATTAGTTACCAATGAATAGATACTACATTGTAACAGAGTCCGTAGTACTAAAAAAAAAAAGAATTAGTTACCAAGTCAAAATTTGAGATTAAATTTTGAATTATTATTATTATTATTATTGAGGGTCAAATATGCAATCGAACTATACACGATAATGCAATTAGGTCCCTAAACTAGCCAAATCCATGCAATTCTTCTAATTTGCAGGTTTCCATCATTTCCAAATTAAATTATTATTTTTTTCTAAAATAAATTTTTAAAAATAACTATTTAAAAATGCAAGGTACGGAGTGGGATGTGGAGTGTGGGAATGACATTTTTACAGCTCGTGATGCTAATTTAATTATGTGTAATCCAGTTAGTTTGCGGTTGCCACAGGATCGGTGGATATGGCGATGGGATCATAAGGGAGCTTACTCTGTCAAGTCTTGTTATAAGCACCTAACTAATGTGGCAGGGGATGAGCGCCAATGGGCTAGGATATGGAGCTTACACATACCACCAAAGGTGAAGATGTTTTGTTGGCAATTAGCATCTTTTTTTTTTTGGCTACTAGGGACAACCTAAATTACAAGCATGTTGCTTGTTTTCTCGATTGCCACATGTGCAGGGCTCAACCGGAATCGGCATTCCATCTTTTTTGCAAAGTGTCACCATACTGTTCGTATTTGGAATAAGCTGGGGTGGGGGTTTTTAGCTGGCTACACTGGTAATGACATTGGTGGTTGGTTTTTCTGGGCTTTGAATGCTTTGACTGTTACTGCTGTGCCTAACTTTGTAATGGTTTGCTGGGGTCTATGGGGTAGTAGGAATGATTTTGTGTGGAAGGATGTTGTATTCAATGGGGACTTGACAGTGCATAGGGCGGTAATGTTTTTGGTCAATTGGTGCCATGCGAATGAGGACAGTGGTGGAGGCCATGTTGCTGTACATGCTGCACGTTGGACCAAACCTGCAAGGGGGAGGTTGAAATTAAATTGTGATGCTGCCTTTAGCCAAGAACGAAATGCAATGGGGTTAGGTTGGGTGCTCCGCGATGACGAAGGATCCTTCCTAGCGGCCAAGAACATGGTATTGCCTGAATTTTTTTGGTGAAAGAACCGGAGGTAATTAGTATCCGGGAGGCACAAACCTGGGTGAAGAATACGGGGCTAGGGAGCGTGGATGTGGAGATGGAATGCCAGGAAGTGTATAACGCTCTACGTGCGCCTAGCTTTTGTTCAGCGTTTGGTTTTTTGGTAGATGATGTAAAGGATTTGGCATCATAGGGGATGTTGAATTTAGTTTTGTTAAGCGATCTGCGAATCGCGCCGCCGACGCTGTTGCGAAGGAGGCCTTTTCTGTGTCAGGTTGCGGGGGTGGATGGATACACCACCCTCTTTCCTTCTGAATGTTCTTGATTATGACTTAATGAATTAATCTTTCTTCTTCAAAAAAAATAATTATTTAAAATTATAAAAAAGAAAAACAGAACTTCCGGCCGGAGACTAAGAGTTTCTTCGTCTCCATCTCCGTCCATGAGACGAAGCTTCGTCTGGACGGAGATGTCTCCATGGCCGGAGACGAAGAAACTCTTGGCCGACCTCTCCGGCGGGAAGTTTTGTTTTGTTTTGTTTTGTTTTGTTTTGTTTTTTTTTTTAAATTTTAATTTTAAATAATTATTTTATTTTATTTTTAAATAATTTAATTTGAAATGACATGTTGGAAACTTGCAAATGAGAGAAATTGCATGAATTTGGTTAGTTTATGTTGGGTAATAAGGTTGAAAAAACCCCAAAATAATAATCCTACGGAAAGATTATTATTCTATGGGAAAACAGAAAAGCTGGGAAGGAAAAGAGGTGGGAAAACTGGGTAAGGGTTAGCACAAGTTTGAACGTAATGTTCTTTTCCTTAAAACCTTATTTGCTACATCCCCCACAAGTGCTAGGAGCGTTGTAGCCTAGGTTTCCCAGGATAAAACGTGCTACGATTCTTTGTTTAAGCACCTAAACAAAGAACCCGGCAAACAAAGCAAAGCTGGAACACAGATTGGCTAAAGAAGAGAGTAGAAGCATAGTTTTGAGAGGATAAAGCTACTGGAATTCCTTTGTTTCTCTACTGTGTAAAAAGCTACTGCTCTACCTCTCTTTATATAGGGATGTTGGAGTGATAGCATTCAACATGGCCATTAAATTGATATTAAAATCAATTGTGTAACACTTGTAACAGCCACCCACTAAGTAGGATTAAACTCAGTTTTAAAAAGGGATGTTGGAGTGATAGCATTCAACATGGCCATTAAATTGGTATTAAAACCAATTGTGTAACACCTGTAACAGCCACCCACTAAGTAGGATTAAACTCAGTTTTAAAATTGAAATTAAAACAGTGTTAATTCCAGTAACAGATGAGTTTAATCTTCTGAACATCTCTCGTGCGCGCTGTGGTGCAACCCGAGAGTGCACCTCTCGTGCTCTCGGTTTCGGTCGAACCAAGTGACTATATGTTTGGCATAACTTATGCCCGCAAGGCCAGCCAATTTTCGGACGACATTCGTGCCCGCAGGCACCGGCGCACGCAAGCTCGGGCTTGAAACAAGCCTTTTCGATCTCTTCTAGTTGGATTTTAATTTAGATAATTATTGTTTTTTTAGGTTCAGTGACCCCTAATTGCATTATCGTGTGCAGTTGGATGACATATTTGACTCTTATTATTATTATTATTATTATTATTATTATTATTATTATTATTATTATTAATATTATTATTATTATTATTATTATTATTATTATTATTATTATTATTATTATTATTATTATTATTATATGTCAATTCGCAAGCCATCTACGACTTATTCAAAGTCAATGGATAAAACATTTGATTGTTCTAGTTGGATTTTTTTTATATCTCTTGGTTATGTTGAAATATTTACATTTAAATTTTAATTATTAATTTATTAAATTTAATATTTAATTTTTGTGTAGTATACAATATGTTAAATGCTTTTGTTGGGCCAATGAAGGACCAAGCTAGTCATAATTGACTAGGGGATCGTTGGACAAATGCCTAAAGAGTCAAGTATAACATTATGCATACCTCTCGAAAATGTTGTGGTATGAATAAATAAAATTTCGCTTTCGCTACTAGTTATAACTTTTGATGTATAGTACTGGTAAGTGCTCGATAATGAGCAAAATTAAACCAAAAATTACTATCTAATCTCACTCATGTATAACAGCTTGCAATTCACGGGAAAATGCATTTTTGAGACACTAATGTTATCATATTGAAGGAAGAAACTAATGATAAGATTTAAAAAAGAAAACATACATACCTCAAATTGTTTATCTGCCACTGCAAGATGCAGAATCGTGTTGCCAAACCTATCTCTCTGATTCACAAAACCCTCACCACCATCTCCTATCATCTCCACCACAATCTTCAAAGCCTCCAACTGGCTATGCTTAACACACAAATGCAAAATGCTCTCTCCCAACCGCTCATCATCCACACCCATCATATCAACCAATCCACTTCTAGAAGACTTCCTTATTGCATCAATCAACTCCTTCAATACTTCAAGTCTTCCTTTCATGGCTGCAAGGTGGAGCGGTGTTAAGCCATCTCTATCACGACCCTTACACATCCCGGGATCAGCTAACACCAAAGCCCTAACCACATCAACGTGCCCTTTGGCTGCCGCGAGGTGAAGAGGGGAGGAATGCTTCGAGTTCAACTCCTTAACGAGTTGGGGTTTTCTTGTAATGATTTCCTTAACAAAATCATGGTACCCCAGCATCGCTGCAACATGCAATGGGGTCTCGGAATATATGTTCACTATGGTTCGGTCGAGAATCAAAGGATCTTCATGTAACAACCTCTTTAAGGTTCCCACAT